GTGATTGTAGGAGTTGTGAGGGGACTGGGTCAAGGGGGCAGGTGGTGAGGCGGGCTTTAGAGAAGACCTTAGTGAGCCCCTCAGTGGTAGCAAGGTTGAAGGAGTGGAGTGTTGAGGGGGTTTTCGTGTGAGGGATGCTAGGTAGGAGAGGGTATTAATGAGGGTAACAAAGTAGGCTTGCTTGGCAGCGTGAAGGGAGGAAGTGTAGGTGAGGAAGGCAGATTTATATCGGGTGAACGCTTGTTGGGATCTGGTTTTGCGCCATAGTCGCTCCAGCGCACAACTGCGTCGTTTGAGATTTTTGGTATGGTCAGTCTGCCAGGGTTGTAGCGGTCGGGGTCTAATGATTCGTGTAGTTGGGGGTGCTAACGAGTCTAGAGCGGCTCATAGCGGTTGTTATAAGCAGTAGTGGCCAGGTCAGGGCAGGACAGGGGAAGGATACTGTCGTAAAGTTGGTCAGCTGCAGAGTGGAAAGGGGCAGGGTTCAAGTTGCGGTGGTTTTGGCTGGTGATAGTTTGACGTTTGGAAGGGTAGGTGTTTGAGGACGAGGAGACGGAGAAGGTAATGAGGTTGTGATCAGAGAGAGGAAAGGGGGTGTTTGTGAGGTTGTGGGGAGTGCAGAGATGAGAGAAAAACAAGGTCCAGGGTGTTCCTGTCGGAGTGGGTGGTGGACTGTATACACCGTGTGAGTGCAAAAGAAGAGGTTAAGTGGAGGAGTTGGGATGTAGCCGGGTTATTGATGTTGATAGGGATGTTGAAGTCTCCAAGGATGATGGTGGGTTTCTCGGAGGAGAGAAAGAAGGGTAGCCAAGCGGAGAAGTCGTTGAGGAAACGGGACACGGGTCCAGGAGGCCGATAGATTACTGCAATCCTCAGAGGGATTGGAGAGAATAGTCGGATGCAGTGGGCCTCGAAGGAGGAGAAGGATAGAGAGGGAGGGTTTGGGAGGACTTGGAAGGTGCTCAGCGGTGCGACAGGAGGGGCATACTTCTCTAAAGCTCAACCCCACCACCTTTTCGACCGCTGGGTCTGGGTTAGTGGGTCCAGATGAGACCTCCATAGGAGAGTGCTGCAGGGGAGGGAGAGTCAGTGGCTTGGATCCAGGTTTTGGTGATCGCTAGGAGGTTGAGGGAGCGGGAGGGAAAGAGGTCTTGGATGGCGGTGAGTATGTTGCAAACCGGGCACACGAATGCACACGAAAATGGGGGGGGTGGTTTTGGGGAGCAGAGGGACAGGTATTAGATTGAGGGGGTTGCAGCAGTTCGTGTAAGTAGGAGGGTGCCTTGTGGGTGAGCGAGGTGGTGGAGGACCAGGGTTCGGGGAGATGTCCCCAGCGGTTAGGAGAAGAAGAAGGGTAAGAAAGGTTGCATGGGAGCGGGATGTACAAGAGCGCGTAAATCTACCAGTGGTGGCGTTCGGGTCAGTGGGAGAGTGGAGTATCAGGAGGAGGTGGTGAGAGCCATAGCAGGGAGATGGAAGCAGTGAGGGTGCGATGTACAGTTGTTTGGGAGGAGCAGAGGGATATAGAGAAGAGATTTTGGGAACGGAGGAGAGGAGTATGAGTAGGAGGAGTAAAGGAGACATTATAGGAAGGGAAACGGAGTGGCGGGACAAGTGTGGTGTAATGTTTCTCAGGGTGCTTGGTAGCAGATAGTCTAGCGTGCAGTAGCGTATCTCGTTGTTGAATCTTACTGTAGCTAGAGTTCTCGTGCTTAGGATCAGGATGGGTAGAGGTCAATTCGATAAGTTGTGGCCAAGGGTAATCAAGCTGCAAGTTCCAGTTTGTGTGAGTCCCAGATTGAGGGGTGAGGTTTGGCTTGAGGAGATGAGGGGTGGACGTCAGCAGTGGAAGTGTTTCCCAGGTGGTGGAGATGAGATGTAGAAAAGGTTGTGGGGTGGGCATCAGCTGTGGGAGTTGGGCGTAGTAGGGGCTGGGGGATCACAGAATCAGCAGTCGGTCCTTCTCCCACGATGGCTGTACTCATGGGGGTCGACAGATGGGCTTCAGGTCCGGGCAAGGTTGCGTCTTGGTAGGCGATGGTAGGTCTCACCAGGTCGAGATCATCTGTTGGGCTCAGCAGGTCCAGGCAGGGTTGATATAACTGGATACTAACATTTATAAGTAAAGTTGATCCAGGGAATATCCGATTGGTTCTCAGGGGATCAGGAAGGAATTTTTTCCCCTACAGGAACAAATTGGAACATGTTTTTCTGGGGGGGGTTTTGCCTTCCTCTGGATCAACTGTGAGTATAGGATTATAACTTCTTTTTTTTTAATGGTTGAACTGGATGGACATTTGTCTTTTTTCAGCCAGACTATCTATGTAACTATGTGATCAGCACAGGGTCAATCAGCACTCTCTAGACATAGGTCAGGGGTTCTGCATCCTCCCAGAGCAGAATGAAAACTCCTCCTACAAGCTTTAACCAGTGCTCTGCTGGACACTGTTTAAAGTCACTAAACAAGATACAGATTGAATCCATAGTCGTATGCACATGCTCAGTTTGGTGTGTATTGCTAGAGAGTTTTTTTTTTTTTCTTGGGAGAGTGCATGTGATCAGCACAGGGCCAATCGGCACTACCCAGACAGAGGGTCATGGATTTCACATCCTCCTAGAGCAGAACGAAAACTCCTCCTACAAGCTTTAACCAGTGCTCTGCTGAAGTCACAAGACTGCTATAACTGCTGATGAGAAAAGGTATTTAGCAGTGTATATTTACTAAAATATTTTAATTTCCATGTTCTGTGTACTGTGGGAGACCAAATTGAGTGAATGCAGTGTCCGGGGTTTAGTATCACTTTAATGGTAAGATGGTAGCCAATCTCTCCACTCTGTTTGTATTTTTGGTTAGCACCGTAAATCCTTTTTCTGCAGCATAGAGATGATTGACTGTGTTTTGAATACACCCAAATCTTAGATTGTTTTCTAAATCTGAATAGGAAGAATGTGGAAGTCACAGAGGGACTATATCAGGCAGTTTAAGGCGCGGCAAGCTTCCTCTGACAATCTGTAAATGGAATAGAAGCGAATCTGTCAGGCCAGCTTAACGATAGCTGAGTGATAGATTAAGTCAGTGTCCTCCACTTCAAAGCCTGGCTCCTATTATAAATGTCCTTATTTAGGAATTCTTTTATGAAATGCCAGGTGATGGTCTCACTCTCCAAAGAAAGCATCCTTTTAATTAACTTTCTGCCGGAATCACGATGAATGGGCCTAAGACTGTTAATGAGGAGAACAAAGACAATGTCCAGGCCAGGCTTAAAAAAATCACATGATCAATCACCAAAGATCATAAAAAAAATTTTTTTTAGATAAAATAAATGCACGCCATTACCTATGCCCACACATACTTTTACTGAAACAGACAGCTGATTTTCTTTTATAACCCCAGGATTAAAAGAGAACTACAGACAGAAAAAAAAGAATCCCCAGAAAGCTTATCATTTATTTGTCGGAAACCGGCAGCATGAAAGCTAAACTCCGAGCTGATGTAAAACACCATTTAATTCAGTTATGTATTTATCTACACAACAAAAGATAAACTGTAGGAGCTCATTCACACTATAGGGAACAGTTATGCTTTCTGGCATGGATGCGTGGATGACAAGTGGGCTAAACAGAAATGTGAATCTTATGATAGGTAAGATTGTTTACAAATATATATTTTAACTGTGTGTTTATCTGCAATGCCTAGGGTAAATATTTAATCAGCTAATATAATAACCGAATCTGCATTTATATTAGCTTACTGTAACCAATTGCACAGCAGCAGTCAGGCTGGAAAGGAAAGACAAAGACTTTGGGCTTGTCAGTCTTTACTGAAATGCTCAGAGCTGTCAGTATAACAAGGGTAGCTTGCTAACAGGAGGACAGAGCAAAGTGATGACCTCAGTTGTGTTCTGCTTGTGGATACTTGACCTAGCTGTATTAGGGTAGGCAAACTGTGGCCCTAAAGCTCTTGTGGAACTACATGTCCCATGAGGCATTGCAAAACTGATAGCCACAAGCCAGGGGCGGACTGACAACTTATGGGGCCCCTGGGCAATAGGGGATCATAGTGCCCCTCTGTCCTTGCCCAAACTCAAAAAAGTCTATGAAAAAGGTACCAGGGGCATCTCATGGGGCCCCCTACTGACCCCGGGCCCTCGGACAGTGCCCGAGTTTCCAAATGGTCAGTCCGCCCCTGCCACAAGCATGACTCCCAGAGGCAAGGCATGATAAGAGTTCTGTAAAAGCTGGAGGGCCGCAGTTTTGCCCACCCCTGGCATAACTGTACTGGAGGAACATGTGGTCGGGGACCTGGGTATGCTATCTGGCATGGATCCTGGGAACCATACCAGAATCCACTTACACATATTTATATCAACTTTGCATTTAGCTGTGAGTGCCTAGAGTCATGATTTAAAGAGCTAATATAATAACAGAATCTGCATTCATATTAGCTTGCTGTAACCACTTGCACAGTAGCCCTAAGACTGGAAGAGGAAAGGCCAGCACCATGAGCCTGTATATCTTTACTGAAATGCAGAGAACTATTAATCAAACGCCGTCACCTTGCCATCAGGAGAGGACAGAATGATGACCCCCAACTGTGTGCTGCTTGTTATCCAATTGGGAGCCTGTGTGTGGATTCTTGACCTAGTTGTACTGCCTAACTGAACTGGAGGAAAATGGAGTCAGGAGCTTGGCTATGCTATCTGGCATGGATACCGGGGGTACTAGATGGGCTCAACAGAAATTCAAATCATATGATAGATACACTAACATACATATATGTATTTCAATGGTGCATTTAGCTGTGATGGCTAGAACCAAGCTTTAAATACTTCCACATAGAAGCAGTGCTACTGAGCAGGACTTCACTGCCCTGGAACTAATATGTAGCATGGGCATTGGACAATGACAATGTCACCCAAAACTGGTATTTTAGAGTCAAGTAGATACTCAAGAGTGAAACCACCTAGTACAGATTATATTTAGGAGTGGTTGTACCCATAGGGAGCAGGGGCGGACTGACCATTTGGAAACTCTGGCTCTGCTCGAGGGCCCGGGGTCAGTAGGGGGCACCATGAGATGCCCCTGGTACCTTTTTCATAGGCTTTTTTGAGTTTGGGCAAGGACACAGGGGCCCCATAATCCCCTATTGCCCGGGGGCCCCATGAGTTGTCAGTCCGCCCCTGATAGTGAGTAAATGCCATCATCCCTACATAGACTAGAGCAACAAACGTTTCTGAATGGGACTTTTAAGGCATTATTTGTATCCAGGCATATACTGTACATCAGAAAAAATCATTTTTATTAAAAAAAATTCTTAAAACTGCTGGAACATGTAAGGGTTAAAAGAAACACAAACAGCTGACAATATATGTATACGGTCATAGTTGTTAGGCTCTCTTAGTTTATGACGCATTTCAAAATTTCTTTCTTCCTCAGGGAGAAGAGCGTTCATTCTAACTCACATATGAACATGTAAGGCCCATAAAAACAGCTCTTATAATAAATTGTTATGGTCAGGGCGGGCTGACCATTCCGGCACTCGGGCACTGCCCGAGGGCCTGGGCTCAGTAGGGGGCCCCATGAGATGACCTTGGTACCTTTCATTGGCTTTTTTGGGTGTGGTTTGAGTGTGGGTGAGGACACAGGGGCCCCATGATCTCCTATTGCCCGGGGGCCCCATGAGTTGCCAGTCCGCCCCTGGTTATGGTATAGTCCCCTCTGCAAGTCGTGGAACCCCCTCACTTATACAAGAAACAAAAATAAAGGGCTTTTGAAGACACTGTCCTAAACCATCACACATTGATAAAAAAACATGTCATTTATTGAGATCCATTAAAAAGATGGACCAAATATACCACTCAATTTATACATTATAACATATAATTATAAAATATTCAACATAAAAATCATCAAATAATTGGGCATCAGCAATAACATGTCCCTCCAGAACAAGCCGACGCGTTTTAACAGTTCACATCTGCTTCAGCAGGGACACTGCGGGACCGCCTAAGAAAGATACATAGAATGCTTGACAGTACAAAACATTATACAAATATGACAATGATTATTACAATATTCAACAAGATTTGCAGCGTAACCAGATTTATATATCATATAATTATTAAATATTCAACATAAAAATCATACCAAATGTATACATCATCCTGGAGTTCCCTCCAATGCCAGAACCTCATTAGATAAGCCTTGCTCTTAATAGACCCCAATGAAAGTGAAGCAGGTGTACATAAGGGATTTACATGCTCAAAAAAAATCCCCAAAAAACTTGTGGATGTAGTGCTACCACTGAAGAGTCCGCTTGGTAACTTTGGGTTCTCTGTTCTGTGCCTTGACTCAATGGTCAAAGATCAACCTTTTTCCCTCTAACGCACCTGGTTGACTAAAAATCACTGCAAGAATAGAAACATTCACAAGCGTAAAATACCTTCAACCTGCTGTGGGTTACTACCAGTAACTAGACAAACACCCATTTAGTGGCAAATGCTCTTAATCTATTGATACAGGTAAGAATAAATGGCAAATTGAACATAAATGAGCACACAGCTGATACACACATGATGCTGATGCACACAGTCTGCTAGACCGAGTAATAACTACGGTATGTCAAATTGGAAAAAACGTAGAATTTATACCCCTAACTGGAATCGGAAGGGTAAGTTAGTAAATCAGCAATAGGGTTCATGTACACTGCAGCTGATAAACTCACATTCAGGAGCTTTTCTGCATTTTTTTTTTTTCAGCAGCCCCTGAACTCTCCCTAATGTTTTCCTATGTGTCCATGTACACATAGTCGTTTACAGGCGTTTACAGGCAGTTGAGTTATACAGTCGTTTTTTTGAATGCACCAAACTTGTGTTCAGGAGTAGATTTTATCAGTGTTTCAAACGCCAAGTGTGCATTTAGAAGCGTTTTTTTTTTTTTTTAACTGTTCCATATCCAGATGCTGTCCAGAGCCTTTTTTCATTAGAAATGCATACAAAGCATTTTCCATGTATTCAAATGGACCCGGTACACCAGCGCAGTCAGTTCCAGGTTTTGTGTGAAGGAAAAACTGGTATGGGATCCATAGTGAATACAACCAGAAAAGACAGGTCATCTCAAACACATACTGCTCTCTGCTTCTGCTCTCTCTATTCCTCTCAAAATGTCTGAAATAGTTAATTTTTTACTGTTTTTTAGTGCATTCTCAGCATTTGGGAAGGTCTCCTGAGGTTATTTTAAAAAATGCTTCTAAATGCAAACACGCATAAACGTGGTATGCAAACGCAGCTAAACAGACGTTTTTTAACCTACATTTTCCAGCAGTCAGTTTCCATTGTTCAGAAGTGTTTTCCAAACATCCCGTGTACATGGAGCCCATAAACTATATTAGTAAATGTTAAATACAGTATAAATGATGATATAGCGTACACTAGGTTAAGGTGCACTCTAAGGTTGTGATACAGCATCACTTGCCCACCACTCTAAAGTAGAAGTACTGCTAAAGGGTGGAAGAGCTGTGATTTGCATTTCCGGGTAGGGGGCACGTGCGCACGCACGCTATTGGTGGCTAGGGATGTCAATCACCGAGACCCGGCTGGCGATTCCCAGCCAGCACTCGTCGATCGCTGTGTAAAGCTTACAGGGGAGAGACCTGTGTGTAAACAATACAGGTCTCTCCCCTGTCAGCATGGACATGCTGTTTTGTATCTCTTTGCACAGCATAGAGATACAAAACAGCATGCCTCCCTAGTAAAACAGCACACAGTTAACCCTTTGATCGCCCGAAAACCCCTTCCTGCCCAGTGTCATTAGTACAGTGTCAGTGATTTTTTTGTTAGCACTGATCACTGTATTAGTGTCACTGGGAATGTCAGTGGCAGTAAGTCAGTTTCCACCCAGTGTCAGAATGCCTGCCGCAGTCCTGCAGTCCCGCTATAAGCCGCTGATCGCCGCCATTACTGGTATAAAAAAAAAAAATTTTTTATTCCAGTATATATACCGCCATTTATAGACACTAACACTTTCATGTAAACCAATTAATTTACACATATTGGGATTTTTTTGTAGCAAGTACATGTAGCAGAATACATTTATTACAAAATTTGATTTTTAAAATTTTTTTATAGGATATGTTTTATAGCAAAAAGTCAAAAATATTTTTTTTTGTTTTCAAAATTATCGGTCTTTTTTTGTTTATATCTTAAAAAAACGAAAACCCCACAGGTGATCAAATACCACCAAAAGAAAGCTCTATTTGTGAGGAAAAAAAGGACATAAATTTAATTTGTGTGCAGCGTTGCATGACCAGCAATTGTCAGGTAAATTAACGCAGCACCATATCACAAACAATGGCCTGGTCAGGAAGGGGGGTAAAAAAAACAAAGCAAGGCCTTTAGAGCAGCAACTGTCAGGGGCAGTCTTTAGTCCTGACTCTTCAACTGGCTAAACATCGGGGCCCATTGGCACATGCTAAGGCAGTCAATAAAGCCTGCAGACAATATTAGGGCAGTGGGGTAGCTGGTAGGTTGTTCCTAATGGTTTAGTAACAGGTAGCCCAGTAATTCCCAATGGCTCGGTTTCCAACGGTGGTAACATGCAGAGGCTGCAAGGCCCTCTCACCAGACTCAGTGACACAGCAGCAGTGGCCTCTCCACTCAGGTGTCCGCTCATCAGGATTGTCCCATGGTGACTCTGATAGGCAGCTTCTTGCCTCCACTAAATCTGGTCACACTCTATAGCCCCTGGTTGTCCCTTACATGGCAATGGGCTTCCATAGGCACAAACTTTTTCTCTCTTAAATGGAGCTCCTCAACATGGTCCTGTCATGTCACTTTCCTGTCACACTCTGAGCCAAACCCAATTGTTCAGGAAGAAGAAGCTAGCTAGGGGTTGCAGTACAGTCCTATTATTGCCAATTGGCCGCTTGCCTCTGGGGGCTACATAACCCATGATCCTTCTTTCCCATCTGTGATTACTCCCTTGTGTTGCTATGCATCTCCCCTGTCACTTCGCCTGCCATGTCTGGTTCTCATCTCCCCGCTGATGACCGTTCTCCACCAGGGGAGGATGTCATTGGGAGGATGGGCTGTACCTGCTACATGAATATCAGAGGGATAAACCAGCTCAAGTAGCATCATCTGAGGGCCTTACACCAAAGAGGGACAAAAAACTGGACAATTCGCTCTGACCAGTTTAAATGGTACCAGAAATTACCACCCTGGATGCACTCTGCATCAGATGAGCAGTTACATGTGAACAGCGGTGGCACCGGCCATTGATTTATACAGCGTTCAAATCTGCCAGCTGCCACCGACAGTTACTGCTGGTCGCACAAATTCAGGCAGCAATCCTTGCTGGTGGCTGCCATGTGAATGTAGTCTAATGGTTTCTATATCTCTTGGGGAGTGTGGTGAGTCCCGGTGCCTGCACATACCTGCAGTAGCTTTCATTCTCCCCCGCTCCTCCTGAATGCCAGGCCAGTCTCACTGGGCAATACTTAGGCACTTCCCAGTAATATCAAAGCTTGTCCCCCTCCCCCATATTGCCTTTCACAGATTCCTATTGATAAGTGAAGCTGCTCATCAAAGTGGCAGGCCAATAGGAATGTATTAGGGGGGGGGGGGGAAGAGGATAATTTTCTTACTACTTCCTGTCCCATAGCCAAAACAGGAAATGAGAAAATATTCATTCAAAGGGAATTCATAGTGGAAACGGAGTTACTATTGTATCTTAACCATTGATCGAAATCCACTTCCCCTTGTGTGGCATATTGATCAGATTGGGTGTTGGCTAAATATTGATTATTGCTATTAGAAGAGATTCATTTGAAAAAGAAATCAATCATTTATCAAAGCATTAAAGTATTTCCCCACTTTTCCAGTTCCAGTGACAACCCAGATTTTTGGATTTTCTTTTACTTTTCTTTAATGCAGAGGAAATCTCTGTATTAAAAATGAACATTGCAACAAAAATTTTCTTACTACCAAGAAGGGTCAGAATTTTGCTTGATCAGAAGAGCCCAGGATTAGGGAAGAGCAGGGAGGCTGAAACTAGTTGTGGGAATGTGCAGGTCCCCCTAGGTCCATGTTACACCTGTCAACGGCTTTTATTTTTTGTTAAAGTGGCACTGTCATTTTAGAAAATAATATTCTTTTATTATCCAAAGTTTCTGAGTTCTCTTTAATTATTCTATTTTTTGGCACTGTCACTGTAAAAATAATATCGTTTTATTATCCAAAGTTTCTGAGTTCTCTTTAATTATTCTATTTTTGGCACTGTCACTGTAAAAATAATATCCTTTTATTGTCCAACGTTCCTGAGTTCTCTTTAATTATTCTATTTTTGATACTTATGCTTTTTTATATTTTAATTTTTTATTATATTTTATTTTGATGCTGTTCAACAGCACCAAGTTATAAGCTGGAATTCCCAAAGAAAATAAAAAAATATATTTACGTCAGGCTTTTAAAGCAAGTGCCACAGGGTTGTTAAGTGTTTTATTCTTATTTTTTGCTTTTGTATCTGCAGGCTTTTGCAGTCCTGTGATCACCTGTTACTTTCCGTGCAAGTCTTTATGAGGTCTAATGTCTGTGTTATGGGGCTATGCAGCTTTGTTGAGGGCAGGCACCAACCTGTCACAAAAAGCTTTCAAGTCAAGACAGAGGTGTAGCTTTTAGCATCTATAAACGAAGAATAATTAAAATGTTTCTCCAACTATCCCCCTCCCCATCCTCACAAGTATGAAGGGCGCACTTTGTATAAAGCATCTTACATTGTATCGAAAAATCTATTTATATATATATATATATATATATATATATAGGGTTAGAACCCCTGTAAATTTTCTATTGCTGTCTTTGTCCCAGTTGGGGAAATTCAACCTCTCTATTTATCCAGTTGTCATTGGATCAGGGGGATAGAGGGCTTTTTGTGGCAGAATGATTGAAGGGGGCTTGTGTAATGCTCAAGAGCTATTTTAAGCCCATTACACTAAAACCAATTAAAAAACCTTAAAGCAGAACTCCAGCCAAAACAAAATTAAATATGAATAACCTATTAAAAGACACAATAACAAAACCAACTTTTGTTGCAATGATCACTTTTAATACAGAGATTTCCTCTGCATTAAAGAAAGTAAAAGAAAATCCAAAAATCTGGGTTGTCACTGGAAAAGTGGGGAAATCCTTTAATGCTTTGATAAATGTTTTATTTCTTTTCAAATTAATCTCTTCCAATAGCAATAATCGATATTTAGCCAACACCCAATTTGATCAATATGCCACACAAGGGGAAGTGGATTTCGATCAATGGTTAACAATAGTAACTCAGTTTCCACTATGAATTCCCTTTGAATGAATATTTTCTCATTTCCTTTTTGGCTATGGGGCAGGAAGTGAAGAGAAATCCCCCCCCAATGGGATACAGATGGCAAAAAAAAATTGTAAGGGTTATAACCCTCCCGTACTCTATCAAAAATGAAAAAGGTTTTGCTTTTAGTTCTGCTTTTTTGTCAGGTCTTTTGTATTTGAGAAACAAGAAGGATCCTTCAGTGAGTATGTTTGGGAAATGCTGTTCAGCATAAAAAGCAGAAGCTCTCAGATCATCAGAGTACCATAGGGGTTCTCAGATCATCAAGTAAAAAGGATTAGGGTGGATTTGTGCACTACAGCAATCCCTGGATAAGTAAAGTATTATCAGGTAGTCGGTTTGCTTTGTATGTATCTCAAAGACCTATCTTCAATTTTTACTGGAGTGTACCTCTAAAAAGGGATCATTTGGCTTGATCATGCACATTTGGCCGCCTATGGCTAGCTTAGTCATATTAGTAGTGTAATCCCCTCAATGGATTAGCTTTGCTGACTCCTATTATATTATTTTGTGCCTGCACCTGGAGAATGATCTCAGTGCCC